AAAAAAAAAAGACACAGTTTCAGTCTCTTAAGTTTGCCCTTATTTTCCTTTGAAAATCTTTGTAGCTTTAGGCTTTACTATTTTTTTGTATGCTTGCTTTTTTTGTTTTTAATTTTATTTTATACTGATTTACATATAAAGTTCATAAAGTTCATATACATTGCTTTAGTTTTCAACCCTTGATTCACCTTGGGTTAGTTTTTGTGTACAGCATGAAATATGGATTTTGTTTTCATTTTCTCAAAACAGGTATCCAATTTTGGCAGCACCGTTTGTCAAAAAGACTATCATTTCCCCACTTGATGGATTTAATTAAAGATAAATTGTCCATAGATAGATGAGCTTTTATCTGGGTTCTCTAGTCCATTTCATTGGTCTATGTATTTGTTGTACTATTACCAGGCCAGTTTGATTACAGTAACTAGGCAGCTGGGTTTGAGACCAGAAGGTATAAAGCCTCATACTTCATTTTCCTTCTTCAGTAATGCTTTGCTTGTCTGGAGGATGCCTGCTTTAATGAACTACACATAACCATGGTGACTGGCCAAGGTGAGGGACTGGATATCTCAGACAGAACTTTAAGTGGAATCTACTTGTCTTGCATATGCGCAGTTAGCTCAGTGTGGTCATGTTCTGTCCTCCTCCTCTGACCACTAGCAGCCCACTCACTGCTGCCAATAGTATTTGGAAAAATGAATGTGGGATGCATAGGAAGTTCTGCTGGCCCAACTTTACTTGACCATATCCCTAAAGCACTAAAAGCAATCTTATTGTTTTGAGCCCATTCCAACTCCTAATAATTTCATGTAAAAAGTAAAATTGTTCCACAGGGTTTTTTTAGCCAAAATGTTTCTGAGGGTAGATCACCAGGTCTTTCTTCCCACTGAGCCACACTGGATGAGTTCAAACCACCACCTTTTGTTTAATAGCTGAGCTGTGCTACCAGGACCCCTAAAAGTAACAAGAATGACCAAACGTAGTTCCTCTTTGAGGCCTGCAAACCACATGCTGCCCAGCCCTGTCCTGCTGGCAATGAACCAACATGAAGTCAAGGACTAGAAGGAAGAATGTTCATGGATATCTGCTCCTTGACTCATTTCAGAAGCGTGTCATTCTCAGACTGTTCTTTTGAATTTCCTTCCATTGAGTCAGCCCTGCAATGCTTCACCAAAATAGAGAGAGGGACAAGAGGTAAACATGCTCGCTTTTGTGCAATAGACTCCATGATCTCTTATTCCGCTTTAGAGAAAACTAAGGCCAACACTTGTTTGGTAGATAGGTGATGACAGAAAGCAAATCAAGAGTGAACTGGAAAATAGAGTCCAGGTTTCCTGACTTCCACTCAATGTGGTTTACTCATCTTCATAGCCCCTTCTTTTTTTTTTCTCTCTTTTTTAAATAACATTTTTATTTTATACAAAGTTTGTATACATTGTTTTTTACACCAGGTCTTCTCCATTTCCTTTATCCACCCCTCACTCCACTCATCAAATTGTGTGACCCTATGATTAACCAACTCCCCCAGCCCATCCTCATCCCTCTGCTCCCCCCCTCCCTCCCTTGGATCCTCATACATGTTTTACTAGTTATCTTTCTGTTTCTACAATAATGGTCTTATACAGTATTTATCCTTATGGGACTGAGTTCACTCAGCATAAAGCTCTCCAGTTCCTTCAATTTTCAAAATCATTGTTTCTGCATGCTGCGTAGTATTCTATCATTGTGAATGTACCATAATTTCTCAATCCATTTGATTGTGTCTAGATAGTTTGGTGTTTCCTCGAAAAGCTGAACAGAGAAATTCAATATGAACCAGCTATTCTGCTGCTTGGAATATACTCTGAAAAAATTAGAACTGAGGTAGAAATGGAGATTCAGGCACCAATGTTCATAGCAGCATTATTCACCATCGCAAGAACATGCAAACAACCCAAATGTTCATATTCCCATCTTAACATTGTGTTCCTGCACCTCTAGACTGCATGGTGTGATTACAGGTAATTCATAGCATTCTTTTGTATTTTGTATTTTCACCTATACCACAATAGTTACATATTAATTAAACAAAACATCTAAAATTAAAAATAAGCAAAGCTGGTTCTTTCAGCAAGTAGAATCTAAAAGCTTAAAGTAAATATCCACCTCCACATCCAGATTCTCATCCCACCAATTTTCTTGATAGCAAGAAGTGATTTGAATTATACTGCATTTCTCAAGGGCAGAGAAGTACATTTTCCAGCATTAGTGAGGGCACCTCTAGTGGTCTAGTCATAAGAAACTGCACTGTAATCTCAAAGGCATGAGGTTCTAATCTGCCAGCTGCTCTACCAGAGAAAGATGGGCAATCACCTCCTGCGTGTGATTTACTGCCTCTGAAGACCTGCTATAGGACCAGTTATGGGTCAGTCTGACTCGATGGCACATAACAACAAAACATTAGTGAATGTAAGAAAGAACAGATATTCCAAAGAGTCAAGTCTGAGAAACAGTGCTGGGATTTAGATATAAACTGTCCCCCTTTACCACTGGGGGCACTGTCAAGATCTAGGTGCTGCCTCTCTGTCCCACAATACTACTTAACATCAGAAGGGCAGATGAGTATACAAAAGTCTGAAATAAGCAGATCAGGTTCAGTGACCATATCTCTCCTCAATAAACCTACTAATACCAGACAAACGTCTATTCCCCATACCCTCTGTATGAACTCAGGAACTGGGATTATATGTCTCTGACAGTCTCTCATTTCCTGAACCTTCCTCTCCACCATTCTTCTATACCTTTTACTCAGCTGGTTGCATACAATACCTAGGACTCTAACTTTCTAGGTGCATTAGACACTAGTCAAGCTGTAAGTTGATAGGTTAATTCATATTAACTGTGAATCACTAATATGAGCTCATTGGAGTTCCTCTCAGGAGTTCTGGTGGGGTAGTAATGAAAGCATTTGGCTGCTAACCAAAAGGCTGGCTACTTAAGTTTACCAGTCACCCCATAAGAGAAAGATAAGACAGTCTGCTTTCATAAACATTTACAGTCTTGGAAACTTTACAGAGCAGTTCTACTCTGTCCTGCAGGGTTGGCTCAGTGACAGTGGGATTGCTTTGAGTTTGGGATTACTCTTCTCAACGGTATCTACATTGGACCTATAAATTATACCTTAACTTCATATATCAATTAGGGATAGATCCTGAAATCTGAACGCAATGGAATAATTGAGATTGAATTTTGGTTTCTCATTGAGATTAGATCTTAAAGATTTGTGGGAACTGGTGAAGAAATCTAAGGAACCTCATTATTTCCACTGCTATGTGGTGGGCCTGAATTTTTTTAGGTCAACATGGCAGCAATCAGAAAGAATGCTTTACAAGAAGTACAGAAGAGCAAGGACACGCCGGACCCATTAGGAGAAACTAGCTACTTTCACCACCTCACATCTCAATGACACAGGTAACCTGAAGAAGCAGCTGGTGCCTCTCACACTAGGAGAAGTTGCTGGAAATCTGCAGGCCTTACTGAGGTCCACAACTGCAGTGGCATGCATACAGACTGTAATGGCACCTGATGCCCTGTGCCAGCTCTCAGCATGAACTTATACTGTTGCTTCTCTCCCACCTTCAGGTTCTCACACAACTTCCTCTTGCAGCCAACTCTAACTGGGAATTATCTAGAGAAAGACACTCAGGAACTATGGGTCAAGGTTAGTTAGGGCGACACACTACAAAACCACCACAACCCTACATATCTCAAAAGATGGCTTCTCAAATCCATTTGTTAGCCAGTGGAGATCCTAAAGTCAGGATGGGAAGATACAGGGAGTGGAGAAGAGGAATTTTCTTTTTTTTTTTCCGGGTTAAATATTCTTGTTTTAATTACTTGAGTTTTCAGGAGTTAATACGACTCTTGTGGAAGAACTAAGGTCTAATCTTGCACTTCCTTTTATGATACAGGGTAGTAATGGTCAGTCTTGCTTTGTAATGGCTACTGTAGGATTCCATGAAAAAGCTGCTCTAATTGATTGACAGGGCTAAGGCAAGCCCCTCTGGAAGTTTCTCCACTGGGGATACCCATCTATATTTGATTCAGAGTGGCATTCTGAAGATCAGTGCTCTCCCTTCTCATACTTTGGACACATCTCAAGAGGAAAATTTCTTGATATGCTTCATATATATGTTAAAATATATATGAAATCATATATGTATATGTGTGTGTGTGTGTGTGTGTGTGTGTGTGTGTGTATAAAATGTTAAAATATATATGAAAATCCAGACTGATGGTAAATATGTATGTTTTTGTTGTGCACAGTAGAGTAGGAACAGAACCAAAACTGACCCTCTGGTGGGTTTTCAAAGGAAGTAATTGTCTAGGAGAATATTGCCCATCCTTCTCCCATGGAGCAGCTGGTGGCCTCAAACTGTGGGCCTTTGGGATTACAGCACCTACTAATATGGGCATACATCCAAATGTCTGTGAATGTGTGTGCCTAGAAAGAAAATGTCTGATCTTATAACTAGACTATGTGAGTTATATGTGATAAATACTAATTGGATACTCAGGAGTTTGTAAATTAAGTGTCCCTGGCTTTCTCTGGGTACTCCAGTAACAATGGCCCCACACCTGCCTACAGTCATTCATCCATGTACCTCTCCCCTTTTCTGAACCCTGAGAAGGAAAAGAAGGAATCCATAGAAGAAGAAAAGTGTGCCCGGAGGTAGCCTCAAAGGGTCACAGAGCAAAATGATGAAAGCACGCCTTCACCAACTTCCTTTTGGCAGAAGCCAGTTAATTTTCATTTTTGCCAGAATGGACTGGAACAATGAGACCATACCTTCCTCACCACAAGTGTGGGCATGTCTTAAGACCATTTCCTCCCTGTGGGCAGAGTGAGGTGATAAAAGTAGGTGGACAGTAGTTCTTCCCAAATCCCAGATCTGCATGTAGACTCAGAAGGTGCTTGTTTGAGTTCTGTTTGCCTCTCCTCCGTTAGACAGACCTGTGGGTCGATGGGTAACTTTATTGGGCATGTGTATCCTGGGCTATTCCTTTTCTTGTATGGACTGCATCAGGCCATCGTGGTCTCTAGAGCTGTGATATTCAATGAGTCTCTCCTGTATCCTTCATCCCCTCCCCAGAATAAGGGGAAATGGGCTCTGCTGTGGAAAATATCCTATGGAGGACTGATGAAGACAGTGACTGGCTCCATCTTGATCATTTATGAGATCCAATGCATTAAAGGGGGGTTGATACTGATGAACAGGGAACTACCCCCAAGGTTTATGCATCCCAAAGAGTGGCAGCACCTCACCATGTTCATCCTCCTGACTCTCAGCGGCTGCGTCGACATCGTGAGCAAGAACTTGCTAAGCCAGAGGTGCGTGTTCCTGGAGCTCGCTGTCGGAATCCTGACCTTCTACGTGCTCTTGCTGCTGCTGGTGTCACACACTCAGGGCACGACAGGGGTGGAGCTGCACGTTCACTCTCTGCTCATCTTGGTGGTGTCCCTGATGATGCTGGTGTTGACGGCACAGCTGTGGGCTCCTGACAGGTTTCACTTCTGGCTGATCGAGACCTTTCTGTTTCTGATGATGGGCTCCTGGTTGATGCAGGCTGGCTTTATTCTGTTCAAGCCAATATCAAGCTACCCATGGCAGGACGATGACATCAGTGACATCATGTTTGTCACCACCTTCTTCTGCTGGCATGTGATGGTTAATGCCTTGTGCTTTTTAGTGATTTATGGCTTTTCCTCCTTTTGGTATCATTGGTACCGTCCAAGCTCAAAGCTGATGAAGTTCAAAGAAAGCCCCTATCAGGCCAGCCCGCCAGGACCACTCTACAAGTTGCTTCAAGAAGTAGAGCCATCAGAGAAAGATGACCAAGCTGCTCTAAGCTCACCCTGAGATGGGATCTAGAAAGCCTGGCATGAGGACCACCCTGTATTTCCCTTTTGGGTTCTCTCAGTCATGTGCATTGTACTCTCTTTGGTCCCCAGTGAATGTAATAGCCCCAAAGGAGAGCAGTTGTCCCCCATATGCTGGTGCATCCTCTGAGCAGAAAAGAGAGGCGTCTGAGAAAGGGCCACTGATGAGGCTGTTGGTGAGTAGAGAAGGAAGAAGCAGGGGAACATTCAAGTTTGCAAGAAAAGTCAAGGTGGGAAGAGAATGCAACGGAAGGAATGGGGTTCACTAGTCAGGTTGTACCCAGCTGCTTCTTTAGGCCCAAGGGATTGCCTTTTACCTGAGGGAATAAAGATCTCTCACAATTCAAGACTGGAATAATTCATGTTAAATTCCAATAAGTAAAAATGGTACTTGGGGGTGGGGGCGGAAGGAAGGTTCTTGTGTTTGCTCACCGACATGGGGCCTTAATAGCAAAAATGGAATTCATAATGTATTTACCTCTAGGTTGAAATTTACCTTTCACCTTCCCTCGCCCCAAAGTATACACGTTAATGTCATTTCAAATTTTTGCAGGTGAGACTTCACTAATGCTTTCATAACATTTTAATCTTGCATACTTCAGATTTTCATAGGATTCCAAAGCTCATTGCTTCTCCAGTAGTAATTTTATTACTCTCCTACAACGTTCAGGAGGTTGGCCTTAGGCACCTTTGTATACATAATCTACTAGAGTCAACCCTTAAGGCTTTGTAAATTCCACCCCCTTGCAGCCACAGAAAGCCAATCAGTATCCACACTTTTACCATAGTATTTGGGACCCATCATCCAATTCATCCTTTCCCACTGCGCACTGATCACTACCAAGAAGCTCTTCCCAAAGACTTAACTCTTTTGTTTTGGAATTCTTAGCCCCCAAGATCAAGGGGCCCTGGTAGCATGATAGTTAAAGTACTTAGCTGTAAACTGAAAGGTCAACAATTTAAACTCACCAGCTGCGCTACAGGGAGATAGGCAGTCCATTTCTGTAAAGCACTAGAAACTCTGTATGACACTTCTGCTCTGTCCTACAGGGTCACTGTAAGTCAGGATCAATTTGAAGGCAGTGGGTTTCATTTTAAACCTGCTCTGTTATTCTGCCCATACAGCTGATGTTATTGTTGTTACATGCCTGCCCTCTGAACCCTGCTCTATCTTGAGCTGACCTCATCATCTCTGGCTTACCTTCCCCCACTACCCCAGTCACTAAATCAATCCATCTCATCCAGATTCCCCAAACAAATTATCTTGGGGAGATTGTTCTCATCAACTAAAATGCAGGCTCTTTGGAGATAGGAACTTTGTCATATTCAAGTAAGGGGCCAGTCCTTGGAAAAAGACATCATTGTGGAAAAGGAGGGGTCAGCAAAAAAAGAGGAAGACCCTCAGCAAGTTGGATTGGTATACACTGATAGTAACAATGGGCTCATGAATGTCAGCGGCCGTGAGAAAATCACAGGATAGTGCAAGGTTCTGACTCGTCATTCACTGGGTGGCTATGAGTTGTAGTTGACTCAACAGCACCTAACAGCAACATGTCCCATGTCTGCTCCAACTATGTAGTATGTTGCTATTGTTGTGTACCACAGAGTTGAAACTGACCCATGCAGCTGCTGGACCCATTCCAGCAGGTCTTCAGAGACAGTTAATTGCATGAGAGATTGCCCATCCTTCTCCCATGGAGCTGCTGGAGGCCTCAAACTGCATGACTTCAGGACTGCTGTGGAGCTTCTTGCCATATTGGCTGCCATCTTTTCAGCCCCTGACTCATGGTAACTCTCTACACAATGGAATGTTTTGAGGTCCCGTGCCATTCTCTTGTTTAACTGTGGGTCAAACTCATCGTGGGTTTTCATTGGCTGATCTTGGGAACAGATCACCAAGCTTTTCTTTCCAGGCTGTCTTAGCCTAGAAGTTCCACAGAAAGCAGTTCGGCATCATAGTAACACACTAATCTCTTCCCAATAGAGGGGTAGTGACTGCGTATGAGGGGCACTGGCCAATCGTTGAACGTGCGTCTTCTCCACTGAACACGAGACTTTTACTATTACTTGCTGTTGTCGTGATACTGAGTTGATTACAACTCATAGCTATCCTATGAACAATGGATCTGAACCCTCTTAGCAAAGACTTTTTGCTTCCTGAATCTCCCCCGCCCCATCTGGTATTTTCTAAAGATGAGGTCACACTGTCCCTCCTTCTAACCCTCTATAAGATATCAACAATCCTAAAACCTGAGTCATTGTAGTAATGGGCCCACTCTCTTCCTCATTCATAAGCATAATAAAATCTAACCACTAGTTCTTAACACTGTTTGATCTGTTTTTGCTTTTTAATCTTCAGAAGCATTCTGGAAGGAAATTCTAGGAAACTGAACCAGGTTGACTAGCTCAAGGTTTTACATCTGGTATGAGGCTAGGCAGGAATTTTAAGTGCAGTGTACTTGACACAAGCCAGCACTGTGTCCTGTCCCACAGTGACTGTGCTAATGGGAATGGGGAAGAGAGGGAACCGGAAAATGAAATTGTTAAAAAAAGAAAAAAGGACAGGCAAAATGTCCAGCCAGAAACAACAGCACAATGTGAAGTATGAACAGCTGTTGGGGGTGTGTGTGGGGGTGTGTGTGTGCATCTCAAAAGTATCCTAGAACTGATTTTGACTCACAATGACCATCTAGGACAAAATAGAACTGCCCCTCATAGGGTTCCCTAAGCTGAAACCTTCATAGAAGTAGATCACCAAGTCTCTTCTAGCTGGTGGGCTAGTACCACTGACATTTAGGTTAGCAGACAAGTGCCATTAGGCTTCTTCCACGTCCACCGCTTCACTCACTCAAAGACTCAAGGCCATTGGGTTGGTTCTGACTCCTCAGGACCCTCCATTGGGTTTCTGAGGCTGTAAATATTTATGGCAGGAGACTGCTCATCTTTTTCCCCAGGAATGCCTGATGGATTCTAACTGCTGTCTTTCAGTTAGCAGCACCACACTTTAGGAACACACCTTCTATTTCGCCTCATCTCTATCATTCTCTGTCCTGCCCCTAGTTTCTAGTGGGACTGAGGCTGAGCATGGTCTTTCAGCTGCCTGTGTTTTGTATTTTGGGGCAGAGAGCCGGATGAAGGCTAGGGATGAGACATTTTGTGGTTAAGGTCTCTAATCCATCCCATTTCTCCTGAGAATATACGGCACTCTTTTCACTCTTTCTTGGGGGGTGGGGGAAGCCCTCTTACTCTTTTCACCTCTCTTCACATTTATGGTTGATGATGAGAAAACAGAAACTGTTAGCTGCCCATTTTCAGTTACCTGAGACCAAGTTTTAATAATGGGAAATGTCCTGTAAACAACTGACTGACTCACTCACTCACTCACTCACTCACTCACTCACTGCCACCTAGTTGGAACTAGCCCTCAGCTAACCTTCTACTGCATTTCTGAACTGGGAAAAGTGCACGGGATGATAGGGGCGTTTTCCTTAGGAGCAGTTGGAGGATTGGAACCACCAGAGAGGAGCAGCTGTTGGGTTTGCAGTCAAACTCTCTAAGGACTACCACCCTTTTCACATAATCAACTCAACTTTCAACTCACTGCCATCAAGTTGGAGCCAACTCATAGCTGACCCTTCAACAAGTTTTCAGAAGCTATAAAACACACAGGAGGGAATCTCAGAGCAGCTAGTGGACTCAAAGCCATATGAATCCTGGTGGGTTGAGAGTGCAACTCCTTATCCACTATAGACCACCAGAGTTCCTTTTCCCATCATACTCTAAACATCCAGACTAAGTATCAAACATGCATGATAATTGGGAGCTTCAACAGCCATTGTGCATTTTCAACAAATATGTGATGGATATGATGGGATTTTAGTTCCTGTAGAGATACAGCAGAGATATTTTGGAGGTGGAGGATCTTCTCTATTATGTCTTAAAAATATAAGTTAAGATGTATGAGAGGTTCTTTCTTCTAAGGTCAGTCAAGAGCAAAACACTGAGACTCAAGGTTGGGTGAAGTCGTTAATTCATACAATATTCCACCAGAGGGCACTACCTTCATATACCCTCGCTAAGTCTCCAGCTCTCCAAGCCTTGTAAACAAGTCTGGGACCAACCCATTTGAAGGGCGTGGGGGAAGGGAAAGAAGTGGATGTCAGGAAAAACCCAGAACCAGACTAAGTATTGCCTAAGCATCCAGAAAATATACTCCAGGCCTGTTGTTTCCCATTAAAATTCGGCATGTGAAATAAACGGGGAATTGGATTTACTAAAAAGGCGGGGAGGATAGAAGGGAGAATGAGCTTAAAGTACCAGGGAAAATACACACAATGATGCAAATACATGTCTTTTTTTATCACCATGTTAAACTTCCTAATCTTTTTAATAAACCCCAGTTATGCTCCAATTAATCTACAGGATAAAGACAAGTCTGTGTATATATACTGAAAAGAAGAAGCAAAATTTATCTCTGAAAATTTCAATCACCAGAAAAAAAGAAAATGAAATGAAGGTCAGATTAATAGATATGCCAAATGATCTGCAAAGATTTCTCCAAAGAGAACCAGTCATACAGCTTTTTCCCTCTTGGTCATCTAGGAGTAGGAATTCCTAGATAACACAATTGGATAAGCATTTCACTACTAACAGAAAAGTCAGTGGATTCAAATCCATGTCGAGGCACCACAGAAGAAAGGCCTGGTGATCTACGTCTGAAGGATCAGTCACCGGGAACACTATGGAGGAGAGTTCTCTTCTAAACTACAAGCATGGTCACTATGAATCAAAATCGGCTGGACAGCAACTGGGGTTTGGGTTTGGTTTTTCAATCTAAGGCTAGACACAGGAAAATATAAATTGATTGATCACTGTTATGTATGGCACTGGGCAAGCCACAGTGCAAGATTCAAACATAAACTCCCTGACCCATGTACTTTGTTTCATCTTTAGTGGAAATAGATACCAATATTGTAAAGG